ACACAAAAAATTAGAACTTAAACTTTCAAAAGAACTTCAGAGAACTCAAAGAACTTACTTTCCCCAAAGTAGCAGGAATCTTTCATATATCTCTCTCAGAGACTACAAAATCTAGTAGGTTAACTATAAGAAGACTATAGAAGACTTGTGTAGCACAGTTGACAAATTCTAACAAGCATATCCTCTCAGTAGAAAATACACATGCATTCAGACACATACAAAATATTCAGAAAAACCGTCCACAAAGAAAATCTTAATAGATTCCCCAAAAGCAGAAATAATATGGTCTGTGTTTTCTGGCTATTATAAGTTAACAATGAAAAATGGCCAAATCAAACACACTATAAAACAGGTTTATCCACATTCAGGGGGCTTTTAAACATATGGTGTTAGAACAAATGAATAGACTTCTAGAACAAACTGAAATGAATCCTAACTGAACTCCTTGCATCAAAATAAACTACAGATGCATCAAAGGTTTAATCCTTAAAATTAAAATGCTAAAGAAAAAAATGAGAATTTTTAAAAAATAATCTTATAGAGGTGAAGAACCTTTCCAAGTGTAACAGGAAACCTGAAAGACATTAAAGAAAGATTGATACATGTCTTTAAATAATAACTAAAATATTGAGCAAAAATCACTTTAAGAATAAATAAATCTTGCATTGGGAAAAATGGATAGTAATTTGCTTAAAATAGGGTTCCTATAAGCCAGTTTTTAAAAAAGAGAAAGACAAACCAACCACCCAATGCATAAACAGGTAAAGATCATAAGCAGAGAGTTCAGAGAAAGGTAACTTTCAGTGGCTTTATATTTTTATAATAATGTTTTTTTTACATTTGAAAAGATATTCAACCTCATTCACAATAAATTTTTTAAAAACAAATTGGAATTACAAAAGGCCATTTTCAACTATCAAGTTGGTGAAATACAAAACTTGCAATACACAGTTTTGTGAGATGGTGGAAATACAAACAGGTAGGTGGGTAATTTGGCCATATCTATCAAAATATAAAATGTACATATCCTTTGACCCCCACAAGGTAACTTCCAGTTGTTTTTCCCTGCATTAGCTCAAACATCAGTGTACTGAAACATAGGTAGGAGGTTATTCATGACAGAATTGCTTGAAATAACAAAAGAGCAGAAACAACTGTTTAATCATTATCAGAAGCATTAAATAAGATTTTGACCATCCAGTGGTGCTCTACTCAACTATTAAAAAGAATGGAAAGAACCACAGGGTTGGATATGTGTGCTCTATATAATGTATTATTAAATGGTGTATAGACTTGTATAGTCACAGATGTTTGAACCAAACACACAGGGAGCTGCTCAGTAGTTGCCACGGAGGAGAGGAAACAGAGAGGCCTAGCGATGATTGCGGGAAGGCCTACGGGTGAACAGGAAAGTGAAACATTTTTCCCCCGTTTAAAATTGTTACCATGCGCATTATAAATGTACATATATCTAAATTAAAATCCTATTTAAGTACCCATTTTCATTCATATACTGGAACGTGTCTAAACTAGGTCCAGCCCCATTTGGTACCATTAAATGATTCAGTGTCTTTAAAATTTTAAATCAGTTCTAACCACTGTTCAAATCTTCCTTTACAGAATAAAATCAACCAAATAGTCTAATGCAAGCAGAATTTTCTTTTTTCCCTCCACAATTATTTTTCCTAATGAAAACAACCCCTACTGTATTCATTTTAGAAAATGCAGAAAAGATAAAAAGAAAAATTAGAATTACCTAAAATTCCATCATCCAAAGATAAGCATCTAATATTTTACTATCTTCCCTACCACATATTTTATGTGTGTGTGTATACATATATCCTTATAATTGAACACACCATATTCCTGAGGCATAAGTGTATTTTTCTACTGATAATATTGTACATACATCTTGATGTCTTAATTTTTTCTTCTACAGCATGGATTTTTAAATCTGTAAAGCATCTACTCATATGAATGAACCACAATTTATGTAACCAGTCTCTGATTACATTTAGGATGATCCTAACATGAACGCCTCCTTATACGCTCTGATTACTTTCTTAGAATAATTACCTAGTAATAATATTATGGAGTGAGAAGGAATAAACCTTTTTAAAGCTTTTGTCAATAGTATGTACATACATATATAAAATATATTCAAATGAATATTTAAAATAAAAGGCAGAGGAGAGGGATGGGGATGGAAACACCTCCAGGAGGTTTTCTTTTACTTTTGATTATCTATCTACAGTATTGTTAAACAATGAATTCACATAAATATATTTATATTACATAATATATAAGTATATTAAATATTTTATAATATGTTTATTCCCCAAAGTATATAACTATAACCAAATGTTCATATTGAAATACATGTTTATGACATATAATACATATAAATGTAAAAGTATTTTTTCTTGTCTCATTTTACTACAAGTGTCTGATGAAATTGCAATCATTATCCTCATTCTATGACTGCGAAAAATTAGTCTAAAAATAAGTCAGGAAGGGACTCAGATTTGAGCATCTTACTCGAAATTTCAGTGACAAGACTCTACAAAGATTATGATTTTATTTTAATTGCAGTTGAAAGCCAGTAAAAGAAAATATATAATCATAATATTTTTAAAGATTAAAATTATTAAAAACTTTAAAAGACAAAAAAACTACCCTGAAACACAAAAACAGAAATTCTTAACAAATCCTTTGTAGCAGAGAGAGGGCCATAACCTTACCGCCAAGCTAGTCGATGTTGTAGCCTGAATTTAGACCCAGCATCTGAATTCCAGAGTCACAACTCCACCGCTGCCTCATATGCCACAATTTAATGACAAATAAATTTCACCTAATCACAAACAATTCTAGAAATATTGTAGCAGTGTCCTAGTTCCTCTAGGGATATGGATAACTGGGGAAAATGAATCCAAAACTTACATTAACCTTTTGATACAAAAACCTGTATGTCATCCAAAGCTGAAATGGCTCTTAGGCCCAAGTGTCAATAGGCCCAAGTGTGGCTATTCCCTTCCGGCCAGGACAACCACTCCAAAAGGAGGATTCCCTCAGAACCTTCCAGGTGCCCACTCTGCACACAAACACAGTTCGCCCCAGGGCCCTGAAACCAGCACTTTCATGCAGCCCAGTAAAAGTGGTCAAATCTCAATAAAGTTTATAACCAATCCTATACATTTCAAACGGAACTAAATTCATAACTTCACCTATAAATGCTTAACTCCACAAGCATGGTCTCAAATTTTGTCACTTTATGCTTGCCATTATATTATTCTCCGTACTGTTTTGTACTTTCTTAATGTCTCAAAAAATAAATAATTGAATTATTAGGGCTATGTGCTTGTCGCAAGTGTGTTTGTGTGTGTGCGCTCCTGTTAGTGTGTACATATGTGGGTGGGTGTGTATTGATGAATGGTTAGCTATAGCAGCAAAGTCAGTTGAGACTTCGATTTTGGTTCCTATTCAACAAGTTTCATCGGCATAAAGATGAGACCTCTCCATAGAGAGCTGTACTTGGAGCATTCCAGAAAACCCCCCAGGAAGGCATCACCCTACGCTAGAGTGGCCTTGAAACCTGGAATCCATGGGCCTAGGGGCTCTAGAGGGACTGCTAATGGTTCCCCCATCTACGCTCAAATCAAGGTTCACTTTCATGGGCCTAAGGCTCCAGATCCAACCTCAGCAACCTAGAAAACTCTAGAATCAAAGGCCTTCCTCCCAAAAAGCCCAAATGACTTACCGAAAGCAAATCCTAGGACCCTCACGGCTGCCTGTTTTCACTGGCGCAAAGAAGGCAAGGGTGTAAAACAGACTGAAGCAAGAGTGCTTACTTCCTGTTTTCAACAGAGTAACTCCTCCTACAGCTACTGGGGACAGAAAACAAGTAGCTGGTATATGACTATGGATGGATCATTTTACTTCAGGGGCCTCCTGACCATATTTCAAAATTAGAAAGTTGGACTGAATGATAACGAAGAATGCTTTCATAATTCAGGAATTTACAGATTTTTCTGGTTTTATTATTAATGTTTCCATTCAATAAATATTGATTTATCAGTTCTGAGAGATCTTGAGATGTGAAAACTCAAGATCTCAAGTGTGGTGGGGTCCCTCACCACAGCTCACAGAGTCTGCTAACATCCACCACGCGCCCTCGTGGTTTTCCTGTTGACACTCAAATACAATGATCACCTCCATGGACCCTGGGGCCACCAGATCTCGCCCTCAGTGACTTAGAAAACCTTAGAATCAACGAGCCAAACTTATCAAAGAGGCAAATCCTAGGGCCCTCATTATGGTCTGAGCCTGGGAGATGTAACAGTGAACAAAGCACACATTAGCCCTGTCTTTTTGCTGTGAGTCAGGTGAAATGTTTTCTGATGTTAAAAGTAGAAACAACACCAACAAAGAAATCAAACACCTCTCTTCTCTGAAACTGCCTTTTTTCTTTCCCTAGATAGAATACGTTTTCAGGGGACATAGACCTGTCTTATAGATAATAGGATTAAGTGGAGTGCCTGAAAGTGCCTCTCCCCCATCCAGGGCTAGGTAAAGGTGCCACGGGAACATTGATGTCCTTCTCTATCACTTGATTCTGCTCACAAAGTCTGAGTGAAAACACATCAATAGAATGAAATTCTGTTAGTGGCTAAGTCCCAGCCAGGAGGTATCCCTAACTCTTTCTTGATGCCTCTGGAGCCTCTACCCCAGCATCTGTCCTACCGTTCTGTGACTAGTTCCCGTCCCAGGCTTTGAGCTTCACAGGGCAGTGTCTGCATTTTTCATGTTCGTGTTCCCAGGACCTGCCATGGGACTCATAATATATAGAACATGTTTCCTGCAAATCAACAAGAAAAAAAAAACCCTGTAGACAGGGATATGGAGTTCCCTGCCAGGGATACTCAAATAGCCCAAGTGTGTGCAGTGATGCTCCAACTTGTTAGTAACATGGGGAATGCAAAATAAAGCAACGAGATACGCACTTTAGATCTATCACGTTGGCAAAGGTTTGCAGGTTGGATCAGGTCAAGGACTGGAGGGCAAGTCCTTATGCAGGACTGGGGAGACTGTCCATCATGCATGATTAGAAAGTGGTACCTGCCAAAAAACACAGAGCACAAAATACAGGGTGCTTACTGAAAGAAAGAAAGAAAGAAAGAAAGAAAGAAAGAAAGAAAGAAAGAAAGAAAGAAAGAAAGAAAGAAAGAAAGAAAGAAAGGAAGGAAGGAAGGAAGGAAGGAAGGAAGGAAGGAAGGAAGGAAGGAAGGGAGAAAGAGAGAGAGAGAAAGAAAGAGAGAGAGAGAAAGAAAGAAAGAAAGAAAGAAAGAAAGAAAGAAAGAAAGAGAAAGAAAAAGAATGAGCAAATAATTCAAGTAATATGTTTGTAAAAATTAACATGCATATCTCCTCACATCCTTCCCCATCTCTTCAGGATGTAGTAGTAACTCCATTTAATGAAATGGAAACAGACATAGAGAAAGCACTTACTTGCTCCAGGTCACATTGTTAAAAAATAGTGTACACACACAAAACAGCACTTTTTGCAGAGATGTAGATCAGTTCAGGGATATGTATCAAAAGATTTAAAGAGTTGTCTTTTGGGAGCCATCAAGGGGAGTAGGAAGTGAGGACCAAGAAAGTTCCTAGAACAGGGCATGGGGAGAAGGGGACTGTGGGCCTTAGACACCAAGGACCCCAGGGCATCGGGATGTGAGAGAAGAAGGCTTCACTCAGCCCTCTGTCCCAGGACTGAATGGAAAAGAAAACAAAAAAGTAAAGTCTTGTGGAATCTCCACACTGATCTGGCAGGAGAGAAACACTGTCTATACTTGAGGCCACTGAGAAGATTCTGAGGAGGCTCTAAGAGATGTAGCAGAGGAACTAGAGATTTCCAGAGTTGAGAAGTGGCAAGGCTGGTGGCTGTAGTTCAGAGAGAAACCCCACTCGGAGAGCCTGGCAGAACCCACAGATGTTCTCACTCAGCAAGTCCCCGAAGCTGCTTCTGCACCAGGCACTCACCTGCTCCACCCTGTCCCAGGAACATCACAGTCTCCAAGTCCCCGATGCCAAGACCCCCTGAACTGCCCAATTTCACTGCTCAAATTCCTAAGGCTTGGCCACACAACCACAGAAATATCCCTTGAAACAGATCAGGAAGAAACAGTAGGGGTGGAACTGCCTCCAGGGAGTTTTCTTTCACTTTCGATCCTTTCACCAGGCTCCTCTGACTCCTCCAAAATCTCACTTCCTGTTTCTCTGTCCTGCACATTCAGAATTTCTCAGCAAATTAAGCAGGGCTTGAAAAAAATCACAAGAGACAACCGTGAAAGCATTGCCCTGCTGCAGAGGGCAGAATCTGGTGTTCGGTGAGAGAGAAAATTCCTCAACAGAAAGAACTAGAGAATAAACTTGATTCCTCAGACAAAAGAGAGGTGACTCACAAAAAATGTTTCTATTTTAAAGGAACAGAGGCTCAATTTCCAACCATGCAGAAGAGGGGGTTGACAATAATCGACATGCAAACTAGAAACCCAGGAAGCTGGACATGCTTTATTGGAAAGCATTTATACAGACTAAGTTTAGAATTAAGAACTCTTGTAATTTTTAAAGACAGGCTTCACTCTGCCTGTGGCAAGTAAAATGCCATTTTCCCTTGAAAGGGGTCTGAGGAGAGGCAGCTCAGGTCTGCACGGAAGCCCTGGCTCAGCTCCTCAGAGCAGATGGCAGGGGCTGTCCTTGGGTCAAAACAGGCCACTAGCAGAAATGCAGGGAGATTCTGCACAAAAACACAGGGGTGGGTCTGGCCTCGCCCCAAGTAAGGGTAACAACACTGCTCGCGACCCTGGCCACGCTCTGAGGTTAGTAGTGACCAGCGCCTGTCCAGTGCCAAGCCTGGGGAGGTGGTAGTACAGAGAGGTCTGTGACCCAGGACCCTGAGCTCCAGGCTTACTCCAGCTTTTCTTCATCCACTGCTCATGCTCCGTCTCTGTTTCCTGTTTGAATTTTTGGAAACGTTTCCTGCCTTTTTCTTCACATCTTGTACATTTTATAACCAAAATGCTGGCAATAAGGCATTACCTAGATGCTGTGTCCTTTGCACGCATCGTCTCTAATTCTCATAGCAATGCAGCATTTTTGTTTTCCCATGTTATGGACGAGGAAACTGAGGCTCCAACAGATACATAGATTCAAACTCAGTCCTATTGCACCCAACACAGGATTTTCCCACAGTAATATACTAGCCTCCCTTCCCACAACACTTGGAAATAAACAATGTGGCTAGGAAAGCAATGAATTTAAACTAATTCAGAATGACCCATGCACAAAGTCAGAAGATCTTTGGGTTTTCAGTCACCTAAGAAAAAGGAGTTGGCCTAATCATAACAGCTAACACTTATCAGATATTTTGTGTGTGCCAGATACAGTCACCTAAACTAGCTTGTTTCACCTCAGAAGTGGATGCTATTTTTGTTCCCATTTTGTGGATGAGGAAACTGAGGCCTGGAAAGGATGAAAGACTTGGCCAAGTGAGCTAGTGAGTAACAGAATGAAGTCTGTCGGTAAGACACTGAACAGTTTATCACTGTCTAAACGTTGATACACAGCCATGGTTCTCAACTAACTGGAGAGGTTTAAAAAATACCAGTTTTCAGGCCCCAGCTGTGAAATTCCTACCTGAGCATAATTATGGGAGGTAAAACAGATTAAGCACTTGGAGTAAGTAGTGCTTCGGCTTTCCACTATTCTCAATAAATATTCACCACCATTGTTACTTAATTCACAGTCTCTGTAAGGTGGCTATTTTAATTATTAGACATAGTGTACAGATGAGGAAACTAAGTTCAGTGTCAATCAGCTGAGCATGGCAAGGCCAGCAAAGCAACCCAAGATCATCTCACTCCAGGATTTACGCTCATCTCCTAGCCTGCACCTGAGCCCAGCCTGGCAGAAATGGATGAGCCACTGGAGGTGTGAAGATTAATAAATAGAAAACTCACTTAAAATAGAGTCAGGAGGACAAAAGAGAGAACTCTCAGGGACATACCACTCTTCACAACAGGAAGAGGGGTATCTTGCATCTTGAACAGGAAGTGGCACTGCTTGACTACCTCAGAGGAGGAAGAAAAGATTCCTCCTTGCCCAGAAACAGCTCAGCCAATGGGAGACTGCTATAGCTCAGCTGGTGTATAGTCATTACACTTTGAATATTTAGTTTGTTTCAACAGACTTCGTACCAGCCCCTCCTAAGTCCATAAAGCATAAAGGAGTGTGCCTCTCCTTTGTTCTCTGGACTTGCATGCAACAGGCCATTAGAACACATGTCCTGAATTTCATTTCTTTGTTGTTTCTGAAGAAAACCATTTTGCTGGAGAAATATCTAGGTATGTATTTGTTGAAGGTCAACAGGGGCATCCAGAGGCCCATGCTGAGGATGGGTGTGGAAAAAGGAAGGTGTTTCAGGGCTTCATCATGTATCATTTGTAAGATATTGATCCTAGCCTCTTCCAGTCTTAACACTTTTTAAAAAGGAAGATGAATAATTAATTAGTGAGTCATGAACCTGAAGTTAAATTCTTATTGTGATCTGCCAGGATCGTTACGAAGTCACTTGCTCGAAACAGTTTCTTGCTTCAATCTTCAGATATATGTCTGTGTCTGTTCATTACTGAAATGAATAATGTAGGTGGTCTTTCATCCTAGACTAGCTGGAAAACCTGGAGGTGTTGCAGTAGCAGCAGGACTTGGAGGAGTTGGTCCCTGCCTAGTGTAGGGAAAGCACAGCCTGGTTTGACTTGATCCCCAAATGGTTTCCACCCTCCTGAATCTCAGCTCCCACCTGAAGACCTGCCCTGGAGATTCAGGCCTACTTATGTGCTAAAAGCAGACTGGGACCTGTAAGCCTCCCTAAGAAAGCCGAGCAGGACTAAACCTTCTCTCAACTCGCTGCAGCACACCCTTCCCATGGATCTGAATTTGAACCACAGGACGTTTGCCAAGAATAAATACTGACAGTGAAACAAAGTCTTGAGAACGTGCATGTTCTTTGTTGCTTCTACATTAAGTTGCACATAACTGACCACAGGCCCTATCCTCACCCTTCTTTCGCCCTAGCAACTAGGCTTGGTTCTGGGCCTTAGACACCCTCCAGGAAGTGGTGAGGAAAGGAAAAGAGATTGCATTCCAATCAACCTATTTTATCACCTCCTGGGCCTTGCTTGAAAAGACTCACCTAGTTATTTAAAAGTTTTTAACCACTGGGATTTTAAATTTTTTTTATTTTTGTTTTGATATTGAGATGATTAGACAGTCACAGGCAGATAGAAGAGGTTACAGTCACCAATTCCAACATGTGTGCTCTGCACCTTCCTTGTGGCTAGTACCTGCCCCCTCTACTTTATCAAAAACTACTGCAAACTTAGACCTATACCACTGATCTAGATAGGAGGAAACTGAAATAATTGTTGGGTTGCGATATCAATATTCATGTCACCAATCTAGCTTTTTCAATATTTTTTTGAAGGTCTGAACATAGACAAGGTGTAGGTCCTTCGTGTTGTTACTTTACTATCTGTCCTATCTAAGAAACAGAGCACCTCAAACCCTAAGGACAAGTGTAAAGAGTCATTTAAAAAGTTTTTATAATGGTAAAATATACATGACATAAATTTTACCATTCTAACCATTTTTGAGTGTTCAGTTCAGCGGCATTAAGTACGTCCATACTCTTGAGCAATCATCACCACCATCCAAGAGCCACTTTTAATGATATAATACGAACATATTTGTCAAGCATGATAGTTTTTTTAAGCATCTTTATTGAGATGTAATTCACATATCATACAATTCAGTGGGTTTTCATATCTTCACAGAGCTGTGCAATCATTACCAGAACATTTTAATCATCTCCCAGAGAAACCCCCTATCCTTTGGCAGCCACTCCTGCTTTCCTCACAAGCTCCCAGCCCTAAGCTATTTTCTACCAATAACCTACTTTATTTTTTAACTTTATTGATTTTTATAGAGAGGAAGGGAGAGAGAGAGAGAAATAGAGAGTGAGAGAGACATCAGTTTGTTGCTCCACTTTTTTATGCATTCATTGGTTGCTTCTTGTATGTGCCCTGACCAGGGATCAAACTCGCAACCTTGGCATAGCAAGACAACACTCAACCAACTGAGCTACCTGGACAGGGCAAACAAAATACAGTTTTAAAACATTTTCCCTGCTATGTCATTTGGTCTTCATTGGTAACTACATTTTTTAGTCTAAGACAGGTGGGACAGGTGTTACAAAGACATTTAGGAAAACAAAGCTCAGAAAGGTGAAGTGACTTAGCTGAAAGAAAGGATAACCTTTTCATGAAATTGACACTGGTATAACTGGACATCCACCTGTAAAACAAACAAACAAAAATCCTCAAAACAAACAAACAAAAAAAACAAAGAATCTAGACCTTGACCTTACACCTTTCACAAAATTTAACCTCAAAAAGTGTCTTAGATATAAAGGTGAAACACAAATTTCTACAACTTCTAGAAGGTATCATAGGAGAAAACCCAGTGACTTAGGTTTGGTGATGAATGTTTTATGTACAACACTGAAAACACAATCCATGGGAAAAATAATTGAGAAATTGGATTTTATTAAAATTAAAACTTCTGTTATTCAAAAGAGAATGAAGAGGCAAGCCACAGATTGGGAGAAAATGTCAACGCATCTGGTAAAGGACTATTGTCCAAAATATACAAAGGACTCTTAAAACTCAACAGTTAGAAGACAAACAACCCAATTATGAAGTGGGCAAAACATCTGAATAAACACTTCACCCAGACAGATGTACAAATGGTGAGAAAGAAAGAAAGAAAGAAAGAAAGAAAGAAAGAAAGAAAGAAAGAAAGGAAAATAAAGAAAAAGGTAGGAAGGAAGGAAGGAAGGAAGGAAGGAAGGAAGGAAGGAAGGAAGGAAGGAAGGAAGGAAGGAAGGAAGAAAGAGAAGGAGGGAGTGAGGGAGGGAGGGAGGGAGGGAAGGAAGGAAGAAAACCCATAGGAAAAGATGCTCAACATAGTATGATTTTAGGGAATTGCAAATTAAAATAACAATGGAACATTACCATACATCTTCTAGAGTCAAATAAAATTCAAAACATTGACAACACCTGATGCTG